GTTGCAGACCAGGCTGACATAAGGAATTCAGAACATATCTGAATCAGCTGCACCCCTAGAATGGAATGTTATGCTAGGAAAGTATTTTATAAATGTCAAGGACCCCACACGCCACCCCTTCTCAACTGTAAGTGGCTATGTCCAGTAGAAGCAACTTGTAAAACACAAGCATCAGAAATTCAATGCAGACAAAAAGTTTTCTCTTACTAGTTAGGCAAGGACAACCACTGGTGTCTGATACAATGTAGAACGGCCTTTCAGTGCTTGGTGCTAATGAACATCACCTACTATTCTAAATAGTTTTTTTTAAAAAAAAAACATCCTAAGTCAGTGACATATTTTTCTTCTGAGTCAACATGTTTAGCACCAGGTAGTTGGTCATTTACATTAATCAGGAGTCTGATTAAGGGAATGTTTTGACTATTTTCAGGAAGCTCTTAGCGGCTTAAGTGAATGGAAAACACATACGATTGCTGTAGCAACAAAGACAACAATTTTGTTGTGGCTGCAGACTGGCTTATGCACTAGCCTACTTAAGCAGTTTCAAGTTATCAGTTACTATGTTCCTTGTCTCACATAACCCCCTCTTTTTCATCCCTTCTCTTTAGACACACACACACACACACACACACACACACACACTGTCATTGTTGATCACTGTCATTTTAGTATTTTATGTATTTGTTTGCTTGGCACATTTATGGCCCATCCCTCATTATTGGAGATCTCAGGGCAGGTTACAACACACAGGGTGCTTATTAACTATGGTAAGTTTTACTCTGAGGAAATTCATTGGCATAAATTAACATTGCAAAGTTAGGTCATGTTATTAATTTCAGTGGGTCTCTGCTGAATAAAACTTAGTTGAGTATCACCCACAGTTACAAGCTAAAAATCTCATCCCAACTCAACCCTCACTTAGTAATATTGGGCTAGTCACTACCTTTCACCCTAACGCATACCACAGGATAAAATGGGGAAGGAAATTCCCACCTTGAGATTTGTAGAGGGAAAGCGAGATGCAAATGTTTTTCTTATGCTGCTTTATACAGTTATGGCTTCCCCCAAAGAATCCTGGTGTAAACAGTCTTCACGAAGGCTTCACTCAACTTTATTGAAGTTGGCACTTGCCTTGCCAGGTCGTAACCATCACACCATGAAAGTATATGTGAGGCACATCGAACTCTCTCAAATCCTACAAGCTAGTAGCACATTCGTAATTTGAATGTGGATCCTTGCATAAAGAAAATGGCGCCATCTAGGAATTAAGAGGAAGTCTCACCTGGCTTGAAGGAGCCCCAAAATTGACAGAAGTCCAATATCTCTTCAGAGGAAAATACTAAAGGGGAAACCCAACACAGCTCAGTGAAGATTAAATGTGTTAAGTAAGCAAGGAATGATGACACTGTGTTGATGGGGGGATCAAATGGAATGGACACTGGCATGCTTGGCTTCAGCACAATTGTCCTGTCATCATTGCTACCATGCTGATGAAATGCCAGCTGGCTAATAGATCTGCCATTTTAAAAATAGTTCTGGGGGGGGGCACACACACACAGTTTTCAAAGAGTATTAACATCAGAATCCTATACATGTGAACTTGGAAGTAAGCTGCATTGTGTTCAATGGGACTTACTCTGAGCTGCAGCCCAAGTGAAGCTATACATGCCTTTGTAAATGTGGCATCTATAAAGTTTGGAGTGTGCATAATCTGGCATATTTTATCCTAGTTTCTTCGCTGGGGTTCTAAGAGCTAGCAAGACTATACTGATGCTCCAGGATTTGCATCATAGCCAAAACCTATTCCCTTCTGAGTATCGCTTTTATTTTATTTTAAAAAGATGAAAAAAAGCAGTAGAGAAGGGCATGGCAAAGTATTTCTTTTTGTTCAGCAATATAACAACAGTACTTTTAAATATACTAGAGGTGGTGTTGTTGTTCTTTAAAAAAAGAATAAATGTTTGTTTTGTTCTTGTGGATATTAAATAGGTATGCCTCTGTGGAATTGCTATAAAAGAACAAGATATGTGGGCTTTTGCCAGTTAACATTCCATGTCAGGGATCTTTTATAATCTTATTTATATAATTTACAGTAAATATTATGATAACTGTGGTTCTTTCGACTTTTGTCTAGACATTAGGAATTTTATGACTAGTTTTAAACTGCCATGCTACACCATGTTGTTTTGTAGCCACATGAGATATCATCTTGAATTAACAAGTCACTAACAACTAGACACGATTTACAAGACACTTACCAGAAAATGAAACCTAATTTCCCAGCAGTTACTGGACCTCTTTGCTGGATTCTGCATTTTGCACGCAGCACTCAATGGCTTCTGATAAACAGTAATCAGAGTATTGCTTGCATGGCAGATGTTGGTGTGTGGACTAGAATGGGAAATGGGGAGAGAGGAAGGGAAGAGAGTGTATTCGTTGTCCTTGACAAAGAAGGCATTTCAAGCTGATGCTGCTGCTGTGTTCAGAACGCCAGATGGCCACCATGTGGGGCAAGAGGCACAATAACGGTGGGCATAAGACCACTTTCTGGGTGAGAGCCAGGATGGGATGTCTATAGTGCCCTAGTTGAAAGTTGGGGTGGAATCTATGGATGTTTGAAGATGGAGTCTTGGATCCAAACTACAGATACATCATCTGGACCATGGTGGTGCCTTTGTGCAACAATTCTACTTTTGTATTGGTATCATTTTCTCCTCTGTTTAAACTATATATTGATTTTATATTTATTGATAAGATTGTTTATAATTGTTTCTATTTTTTAAAGCTATTGTTCATTTTATATGTTGTGAGTGAGTCGCTTTGGGCACAATTTGTGGGAGGAAAGCTGCATCTACGGCGATGGTACTTTTCTGAAAACAAAGGGATTTTGTTAAAGCCAGAGGTTGCAGAATGCACCCAAAGCAATAAAACAGCAGCCTGGAGCAGAAGCAAGAGCTACAGGCAACCTCTTGCCTTAGTAATGGAGGAAACTCTGGCCAATGTAGGCACAGACTTAAAAGGATTATGTTGAACTCAACACAACATTGTCTGGGCCAACTAAATGAATAATGACAAAACAGAAAAGGCCCTCAGCGTTTCCTGTGTAAGGTCACACATGACCAAAACAAACCCTCCTTTTTTTCCTTGTGGGGTTGCTATAACCATTTTGCATGCAATTCGACATAGCTCTCCGAAGCTCCTTTAGAAAGCAAGAGTTTCAAGGAGGCGAACTTATCCCAATCTTTTTTCTAAGGAAGTGATATTGAAGGGTTGCTGCTTAAGCAGTCCAAAGGGTGGATGCTAAGCAGTCCCTCTCTGAAATGTCCTCAAGTCTCTGTGCAAGAGGGGAGAATAAACACAGCTGGATTCCTGAGAGAGTCCGGCTGCAGACATCCTTTTCCTGCGAGTCTGACTCCAGTCCAATCTCTGGACAGGAGAAGGAGAAGGGGGAGTCTTCTGAGACTAGACTCCTTTCCCTCCCCTCCCCTCTTTCTGGCTCTCCTCCTATTTTTCTTGCTGATGTCACAGATAGGAAGCTGACTCATGATGAATAACTATTTGTTGTTCCCCGACAGCCTGCCCTTTTGCAGAAAATCTGTGCAAAGTTTTACAAGAGATTTCTCAACCAGCTCCCCTAAAGCGCTCCAGGCACATTGCTCCTAGCATGATGTCACGGGGAGTAGTCCTGGAAAGGGGGAATTGTATTGCCGCAATCCAGGACTTTAGCCTGCAAAGGCTCTATCTGCAATGTGCTCTCCAGCAGCAGTGAGGAACTTGCGCCCTACAAGTCAGCCAAGGGAGAGAGTAGGAAGTGTGGCACCAGTAGTGCAATGACATAATTTTGCACTCCAGAGCTAATGCTTTTATGTGGCCTTTCTCTTTAGATGGTAACAGGTCAGATTCAGATTTACACTGCAAGCCTAACCATGCCAATGGGCATTCCTACTCCCAGGTAATTGGGGTTAGAATTGCAGCCTCGTTCAGGTTAAGTGTGTTTAGGACAGCAGACACACTTTCTTGGAAGTAAACCCCACTCATTTAAGCCCCACTGATTTTAATTGGGCTACTCCAAGTACGAATAGGTCTGGATCCAACCCTTATTTTTTTAAAAAGTGACAATCCAGCCCTGCTGCTTTTGGGTGCCTTCCTGCTCATCTTGCTTTCATTGAATTGCAGAGTTGGAAGGGACCCCAAGGGTCATCTAGTCTAACCCCCTGCCATGCTGAGTGGCACCTTGGCTTTCTGCCCCCATCCTGCCCTAAAGTGGGTGTCACTGCAGCATTGGCAGCCACTGAAATCTACTTCCCAAGAGCCTCAAGGGAGGATTTCACCTTGTTCCCCAAATACAGGCTTTCTTCTCCAGAACTGGATTCTAGACGGCCAACCTGAATTTCTTCTCCAAACCGAGTCTTGTAAAGACATAACAGATTTACAACCGCAGCCGATAAATGTCCACTCAGAAGAAAATCCCACTGACTTCAACGGACCTCCTTCCTAAGTAAGTGTGACCAGCACTGCAGTTTACTATTTGTATTACATCTTTATTCCAACTTTTCTCCAAGGAGCTCAAGATTGTGCAGGTGGTTGTTCCCTCTCCGCTTTATCCTCCCAAGAATCCTACCAGGTAGGATAGGCTGAGAGACAGCCACTGGCCCTAAACCTTCGGGGGCCAAAGTGCAATCAGATGCAGAGCGAAGTATTTGGAAGTATCCCTTCCCCTTTCTCCCAGCTCGTTAGCTTTCCAGTGCTAGGAAAAATTATCTTTCTTCCTGACTCTGCGCGCGTCCCTCGCACCCCTCCTCTTTCGATCCTTCCCTCTCCCTGTTATCCCGGAGGGAACGAACCATTGTAGCCGGGAGGGGTGTGTGTGAGTTTGTGTGGCGGCGCTCTTCGGCTGGAGCTTGGATACCCTAATGGGCGGGACTGGCTTCGGCTGCGCGGGGAGGAATAGGAGCAGCAGCAGCAGCAGGAGGAGGAGGAGGAGGAGGAGGAGGATCCTGTCGGGCTGAGGAAGGAGGCGGGAGGGGGGTGTCTCTCTTGGTAAGGCGCCCGCGATGAGAGTCTCCGGAGTGGCTGGGGAAAGCGAAGGATGCACAAAAGGCAGCAGCGCCAGGAGGTGAGTGAGGCGCTGCCTGGAGCAACTGCTTTTGTCCCGCGCGCGTTTGGGTATCTGAGCGCCCGCGCGCGCAACGTGCGGGGAGAAGGAGCGCAGAAAGCGCGCAGCAGGCAGCTTGTGTGCCGGGCAGGGAGCGCTGCTTGAGAAAGGCAAGTCCGTCACTGCGTCCGGAAGCTAAACCAAACCCAGGAGAGGATTGTAAACTTTGCCCTGAAGTTTTGTTTTTGGAGGGAATGCATTTTGGAGGGCATCTCCGGAAAAGGCACCTACTTAACAACCCAAAACCTGTCTCTGTTGCCCACCAGGACTCCCTGCTCTTTTATGCTCCGTGGCAGACAGATTTGTTTTGTCTTTCATGGGGGAAGATTTACTGGTCGCTTTGCATGCATTTTAATCTTGCTGGGCTTTTTACTTTTGCAAACTGTGGCGCGTTTGTTTTTCAACTTCTACAAATTTCTGCTAATGGGCTTGCTTAGATTAGGCTAAAAGCACAGCATTTGTTTTGTTTTTTTTGAAAGTCCAGGGCACTGTTGACTTAATGTAAACTGTTCCCTTCCGCTGAGAATCATTCAGCAGAGCTTTGGTTAGGAACCCGCTGTAGCTGAAGGATTAGTGCTTGCCTTGAAAGAGACTTTGTACAAACACAGCTAGGCAGTTTCCTCTCACCCACTTGCTGTTTCCTCCTGTAGGGTTTCCCTCTTTTGTATGTTATCCCAGATGATTGTTGCCCTTTAAAAATGTCTCTTAAGAAGCTTTTTGTGTTCTGTTCTCTCTCTCTCTTTCTCTCCTTAATAAGCCCAAAGACTTCATCTGTGCATTCACAAATAGGATCTGTTTGGTGATGCTCTCCTCAGTTTTGCATAGAGTTTTTCTAAGCAAATGAAGATGTGATTTTACTGCTCTTATTCAAGCAAAGTTCATTGGTTGTTGTCAGGAGAGCACAGGACAGAAGTTGAAACATGTGCTTCAGATCACATAAGCCAGAACTTGAGCCTGGAAAATGATAGCTGTGTTTGTCTGTTACAGCAAACGCACACATACAGAGAGAGAGAGAGAGAGAGAGAGAGAGAGAGAGAGAGAGACGTCTTGTGGTGTCTTAAAGACTAACAGATTTATTGTGTCATAAGCTTTTGCGGACTCGTCAGACACACAAAGTGCTAGTCACGGTAGATTGTTTACTTATTTTAAATCTGTAGGATAATTTACCCAGAAATGCTTATGAAATGCTGAATCAAGTTTTCTCTAAGATGTCACTAGACTCTGTCATTTTTGTGATCAAAGTGTAACATGCTGAATTCACAATCAGGGTGGTCAAGAGATGGATAGCCCCTTCACCGCAGTTTGGTCCAGTACATAGACTGAATGGTAGCCAACATAAGGTCTTTCCAATGTTCCTGGATTCTATCTCCCATCAGCCCCAGCCAGTATGGGGTGAATGGCCAGGAATGATGGGAGCTGAAGGTCAACACCTGGAGAACAACGTGTTGGCTCTGCCTGGCATAGGTTGCTGAACTGTGATTTTCTGGACTGGAGTTTAAGTCTCAGTTGCGTCAAAAACACAGAATGTCTTTGGATAATACAGTCAGTGCTACCCTTATGTCAGGCATGGGGAACCTCTGGCCCACTGGATGTTGTTGGACTCCAGGTAGCATAGCCAATGTTCTGGGAGGGGGAGAGCTGTGTCCCCATCTCTGCCTTAAGTGAGTGCACAGGTTCCTTGCATTGGTATTTTTGCTCTTCCACTGCAACTTGTGAAAAATTGGAGGTCACTCATACAGCATGCATATCTCTGTGCAAGTACTGTATAGAGAATGTGAGCACAGAGAGTTCATTCACTTGCTAGTCAGCACTTCTAGTATCATCCAAAGTTGCTATAGTGTGTGGTAAATCTCTGATCATCTTTTAAACAGAAATAATGGAAACCCACTTCAAAGCTATTGTGAAGACAAGAAAGACTGTGCTAAATTCTTTACAGAACATAAAGGCTATGTGCATTGGTTGTATAGATGTAAGCAGTAACTTTCCTTAAGTTATACTCTAGTAGCAGTCTTCTGCAGGTGATGGATTCGGTGAAGTGCGTCACCTTCACTGAGTAGACCTTGGAATTCAAACATAATCACTGACTGACATGAGAGAACTGGTTGGGACTGGTTGACTATTATGGGAAGCAAGTTACAGTGTAGCGCCACCATCTGTATTCTGGTTCTTATGGTGATTAGCTATATGGGAGGTTAAGACTGTGCCTGCATCTTGGAATATTTTAAAGCTCATAATATAGCAGTTGCTTCTTCATAAAATTAGGGAACTGAATAAATGTTTTCAAGTTAGGAAAAACATCAAGGTATGAATAGCTTTTCCAATTGGAGGGGTAGAATGCTGACTATATTATAGACAATTTCAGAGGCTGAGCAGAAGGAAAGGAGGCTGTGTGAATCTGAATTTATATTCCAGGAGCAGCAGGGATAAAATAATGGGTGGCAGACTCATTGGTTTAGCATAGGATCCCCTATTCCTTTAAGCTACAACAAAATGTATCTGCTAAAACAAAGATACATTTGCAGGCTTTCAACCTGTGAAATAAACTTAATAGACTTGCATGCTTTCAACTTCCTTTGCTGTACTTCTTCCTTCTTGATAATTATGAGACATAATTAATTCTAATTAGTTTGCACTGATGCATCTTCTGTTTCATAAGGGATCTTGTTTTCCCTTGTGGTACAGGCTCCTATATAGTTTAGTTTGACTGGTCTTGCTGCGATTCCCTGAACCACAAAACCACTGTGGAATGAAACCTCTTGGTGGTGGTTGGCCTCTGGACAGTGCAGCCTAAAGCATTTATGACAATGTCACTCAAAAATCAAGGGGGAAAGAAAGCATATTCAGCTTGCATTGCTTTTAAAATTGATTTAACTTTAGAAAAAGGCAAAGGGATCACTGACCTTACAAAGAAGGGCAACGTCTGCTGTTGGCAAAGGTCTTTTCACAGCTCAGTGTGAGGTTTGGGAGATTCCAGGAAATCTAATGAGAATGAAAAATGCATTTGGCGAGAACACTAAGGAACTTATGCATATTTTCCCTGGAAATTCTAACCTGGGAACAGGTTGCCAGAAATTGAAAAAGGTAATATGGAAGGTAATATAGAACCCATAAAGATTCAGCTGTTGCAGCTCCAAACCTCTGTTGAAGTGATGTACAGTCATATCTTGGTTTTTGAACAGCTTAGTTCTCAAACATTTTGGCTCCTGAACGTCGCAAACCCAGAAGTGACTGTTCCGGTTTGCAAACTATTTTTAGAAGCCGAATGTCTGACGGGGCTTCCACGGCTTCCAATTGGCTGCAGGAGCTTCCTGCAGCAAATCAGAAGCCACACGTTTAGGAAGTTGAATGGAATTCCGGAAAGGAATTCCCACCTGGGTGTCAAATTATCTGTTGTTTCTGCAACAGATTTGGAAGGCACTTTACAGATAAAATTCGCTAATCTCCAATCTGACTTTGATAACATATTTGAACCAAAGTCCTGGGATTATTTTCAGTTTGTTTCCCCTTTGACAGATTGCTTGGTAGGAGGGAGTATCCATGCTAAATTCGTGCCCTTCCTGGGTGGTTAAAATACATGGGAAAGGCTGGACCTCTTATAACAAGAGTGATTTTTAGTTCATGAAGAGAATGGAAGTTTGCAACTGCTGAACACAGGGTTCATTTGGTTACTGTGTTAGAAATATTTACTTTATGTCAAAAAGCTCATTTTCATTCTGCCTCCTCCTTTGTGGGAAAATTGGGGAAATCGTTACAGCATGTAGTTGGCGTACAGTTCTAGGCATCTAGGCATTCTGCCTTGTCCTTTTTTCAATCCTGCTTCTAGCTTTGGGACACAGTTTGCTTCAGTTGTTTCGAGATTAAGTTAGGAAGTTTCTGACCACTCTGGACCATCTCACACTATGGATGTCCAGATATTGATAAACCAAAATCTTTATTTTGTGAGGATACAGGGGTTATCCTTGAATGCATGTGTGAGTTTCCTGGTTGATAACCTGTGGGATTCTTTAGTGATCATATCTGCACTTGTTGTTACCAGCTCTGTTTGCTGAAAGATAGCAAGCAGCCAAAGGTTCAGAGTAAAGTGTGGTAATGCGACTCATCTCATTCTCCACTGCTGTAGGGGCAGAAACCTCTCTTCTGAATCACTCTGGGGACAAGGTCAAATTATGACCTTGGAACTGAAGCCATATAACATGGAACTGAAATTATGACCTTGGAACTGAAGCCATACAAAATGGCACTGGGGGTTTTAAATGCTCATTTAACGTATGGCAGAGATGTGACCTAACACAGCTATCCCTCTAGATGGATGGGACATGGGTGGTGCTGTGGTCTAAACCACTGAACCTCTTGGGCTTGCAGATCAGAAGGTTGGCAGTTCGAATCCCCGCAATGGAGTGAGCTCCCATTGCTCTGTCCCAGCTCCTGCCAACCTAACAGTTTGAAAGCATGCGAGTGCAAGTAGATAAATAGGAACCACTGTGGCGGGAAAGGTAAACGGCATTCCAATGCACTCTGGTTTCTCTCATGGTGTTACATTGCACCAGAAGTTGTTTAGTCATGCTGGCCACATGACCCAGAAAGCTGTTTGTGGACAAACGCCGGCTCCCTTGACCTGAAAGTGAGTTGAGCGCCGCAACCCTATAGTCGCCTTTGACAGGACTTAACCATCCAGGAGTCCTTTACCTTTACCTTACCTTCTAGATACTGTAAGCACTGTAGGAGGACCTTATTATTTGAGTTGGCTTATATCACTAGAACTATTTGTAGTGGTGGAATTTACCTTAAAGCTTTATATGCTTTGTAGATAATACCTGTGTGCTGGTTTTAGATGTGCTCCAAGCCTTTGAGATAGGCTGGAATACAAGTCATGAATAATAAGAATAAATGTTCTTCAGTTTTAGAAAATGGATGTGAGTTTCAAAACTGAAGGGGAACTATTTTATAGAAATATATGGCTA